GAGCAGAGTCCAATGAACATGATTTAACATAGGGGTGGTGTATTAAATGATACAACATTAAGTGGGTGTGAGCAGAGTCCTATGAACATGTACATGATTTAACATAGGGGTGGTGTATTAAATGATACAACATTAAGTGGTTGGGAGCAGAGTCCAATGAACATGATTTAACATAGGGGTGGTGTATTACATGATACAACATTAAGTGGGTGTGAGCAGAGTCCTATGAACATGTACATGATTTAACATAGGGGTGCTGCATTAAATGATACAACATAAGTTTTCTTGAATTACAGTACAAAATTAATGTATTTCATCTTGTAACATTTCAATATTTTTCTAGAACCAGGCATTAGAAGTGTTCTAAGTCTGACACTCTGTCCTTCAGCAAAAAGGAAACTCTAGAAATTCTATGAAGATCTAATAGGAACTGCCATTGTTAAATGTTAAAATGTCATCATTTAAAACCCTGTCGTAAAATCAATGCAGCAATCTTGTTGTCACCAGTGACGTGTATTCCACTGTCCAAGTTACATCCATTTCACCTAGAGGGTACACATACTGTAATGCTCTGTTATATAGGGTGCTCTTTTTGTTAATAAAAGACTAGTATTTCTATTGTTATTGAAAGACTGCAATTCTTTTTTTCTTTTTAAGAGAGATTACTTTTATAATTTTTAATGAAGAGATCTCTATTTTTATTTTAATGAAAAATTATGATATATAATTTTACTGTTAAAGAGAGACTAGTACTGTAATCTTAGTTTGAATCGGACTTGTATTGAAATTGTTTATGGTCCCAGAAGATTCAGTACAACAGGATGTTATACCTGTTTGATTCAGCTATGTGTATGATGACATAAGGCTATAGTATATATCATACACATATCTGTATGCCCAAGGTCAAGGCTATATCAAACTGCTTAGATGCAGTGTATCACACATCATGTTACCCTGCAGGTCAAAAGGTCACTGAAGATATACTGTGTCAGTGGTCCATGTACCTTCTTTTGAGCAATGCTATTAGTTACTTGTACATGTAATAATTACTCAAATCCAAAGTGAGAGGTTTATATTATATTAAGAATATTCATTGTAAACATCTCTAAGAAAAACACAGCAGTTACATGTACTGTGAACCACTTCCTGGTTTAACTATCAACTCTTGACATGATATTGAAGGGATATAACGTTTGTATGCATGTTCATTCGAACGAATGTATCTTCACATTTTGTCATCACTATAGTTGCTTTAGGTGCTTTAGCTGTGTCTTTTTCTTAAATGATTTTAATATATCAGACAAGTGTTAGAATACTTCAAACTTAAGTTTCATGTTTCAATTGGTACCAAGGTCAAGGTCATTGGTACTATTTATAGATGTGCATGGATTTTGTTCAAAACTATGTTAGTTAAGTATGTGAAAACCTCAAACAACTTTGTGTTTCAGGTTGCCAAGCTCAAGGTCATGCTCACTGTTACTATTTATAGGCAGTTTTTGTCTTGCTTAAGGAGGATTACAATCAAATTTCATATATTGATCAAAATACCCCAAACAAGTTGATCCAGGGTTCCAAGGTCAAGGTCATTCTTACTATAATACTATCAATAGATATAATTTGTCATCACTCTTAGTGAATCCTTCCCTGCATCTTAAACCAACTGTGAGGGATTTGCATCCATTTCGATGCCTTGTTATTTTAGCTGAGGTTTTGTTGTTAGCTTGTGATAAGGAAATTTAAGTACTCTATTATATACAGGGTACTTATCTGATATCTGCCAAACCCATATATAAGCTTAGGTAAACCCAGGTTTACACACTTAAGTGAAAGACATTGAAGTGGATTTTTTACCCACTAATCTGCAGGTCACTTGATTAGAAGTCAAAACATTGCTATCTTATTTATTCCATGTAACATGATGTTGACAGTGTGGGTCCCTGCAGTTCTGTTGAATCTCAATGGTGTACAGTGTTAGACCAGAACAGGTTAGCTAGGGAAACGCCCTTGGGGGTGGGTGGACCTATAACTGACACAGATAAATACTCACTTGAGTTTGTTTTGACTGGTATGTGGTGTAATGTGAAGGAATCTTGATACAAATTGTGCATATGTGATAAGAAAAAGTTAAATTGATTGAATATTGTGGTTTTTTTTACCTGTGAGTTCCTTAAATGACATGTCTGTCTTTTTTCGATTTACGTGATTTTTGAGGATTCTTTGAGATATCTGCCATATTTTATATTTCATATATGTGAGTTAAAATCAACTGTCATATTGTGTTCCTTTGCATTTTAACACAGCTACATAGCATTACTTTGCCATGGCCTTAGTGTGGTGTACCTATATTGTTAGCTAAAGATAGTGTGTTGTATATATATTTTTAGCTAAAGATAGTGTGTTGTATATATATTGGTAGCTAAAGTTGTAAACACAGCACTATATAGTATTAACTTGGCCTGGTCTGAATATAATATAGCTATATTGTTAGCTGTAGATGTATAAACAAAGCTATATATACACTGTATAGTGTTTACTTGGCCTGACTAGGATGTGGTACAGTATCTATGTAATGTTAACTATATGGGGTATTAAACGAAGCTATGCTGTATTAGCTTGGCCTGGCCTCAGTGTCCTAATGTACATTAGCAGTACCATTCAGTAGAGTGTAATGTTCTGAAGGGCATGATCTTCATTAGGTAGGTATAAGGGGTCATGTACCTTAGTAAGCTTGGTCCTCAATCAGCTTCTGGTGTATCTTCATTATCTGTAGGTGAGATGCTGTCATGTCACAATAACAGATTCTCTGATCTTTTACTTATTAATTAGAGCGATATACAACTGTAACTGCCACCACTACAGGCATTTACCAGATGTGTCCTCAGGTTATCAGAAAAAAAAATGCCCAGAACTGGTATGTTTGGAAATTGGATTTGTTTTCTTTTTGCATAAATACAGGAAAAAACTGTTCAGGGATTATAAATACAGGAAAAAAATGTTCAGGGATGTCTTTCCAATTTATTATTTTTTCTGACTGTCTCTAGAGTCACGCAGTATCAAAAACATGTAAATGTACGTAGGAGGCATGCAGTGCTGTAGTTCGATCTACTCTACTGTTCAAACATCATGATGTCTGGACATAAAAACTCTCCCTGATTTAATGGTCATGGAGGAAAATCATAGATATTAGCTGTCAGGGTTGATCTGATACAATAAATGCAGGTTAATCTGTTGGAAAGGTTGTCGGAACCATTTCTGTCTGACACACTCGTTACTTCAATAAATATAGCCATTATAAGAAATATAATTTGCACTTTTCACAGAAATCTTCATATATATAAAACCTATTTGTCATTAGTATGAAGGAAACTATTAGTCTTTAATTTTTATTTGAAATAAAACACATCTATGATAACAGTAAGATACATCTCTCAATTGTTAATATCTGTGTAAATTCTCCCCCTCATCCAAAGTCATGAGAAGTACAGAAATATAATGGGCAGAAAATCCACATTTGAAACTAAGCATGTTATAGTTATTGATCAAATTTTTAAACAAATAAATAAAAATAAAATTGTGATTGACGTGATTATATCACTGACCTATTGATATGTTACAGGGTAAACAGAAACAACAGAAGCGGACACAGACCTTCTTCCAGTTCTGTAACGCCACGGAGGCCATCTTGTTATGTACTGATGTGGCTGCCCGAGGACTAGACATTCCTCGTGTGGACTGGATTGTCCAGTTTGATCCTCCAGATGATCCAAAGGTAAGTCTTTCTAAAGTATCACCCGTGTTCCTGGGCAGGTAATACATGGGCATGGGGCTGTAGTCAGGATATTTTACTAAGGCTTGTATTGAGTGGACAGGTTTTTAATTTCAACAACCACAACTCTTTTCAAAATCCATTTTGAAATGAAACACAAAATAATGAAATTATGCTACCATCAAGTAACCTTCATGATAATCCAAGGAGCGAGGATAACTCATCTGATCTGTTACTTCTGTAAGAATGTATTTGTGCGATGTTGACATGTTTTACTCAATGGAAGTTTATTGAACCCTTGCTGATATAATTTTGCTTTAAAGGTGACTCTCTGAGTCAAAAGATATGTCAATACATTCTGATTGAGTTTAAACAGATTAGCTGTTACTTTGCTCACTGGATTACTACAATGTACTAGTGAGCAATGCGTACCTAATGGATCTACAGCAGATCTTACCCAGATTTCTAGTTATAAACTTCGATGTTTCAATAAATTAACCTTGAAGTGATCCTCATTCAAGGTTACAGGGATCAAGTAAAGCTTTTCTATAGCTGTATAAGGTGAAGGGTTATAGCATGTCCATCTGTCACCAACATTCATTGAAATAACTGACTTACTGTTGTTACCTTTCCAGCAGTTTTAACAAGTTGTTAAATTGACCCTACCATGTTGTTGATAAGTTGTAAGAAGTTGTGGAACCTCACCCTGACATACTGTTGACATGTTTCTAATGTTGCTAGTGGTTCATTGAGTTACTTATCTAACCCTGGCCTACTTAACAATTGACACCTTGATGAAAGAACATTGCTGAGAATTTGTGACTGGCATTGTTACATCAATAATTAATGAAGAGCAGAAAGGATACCAGATAAGGTATTGTCGGGGTTACGAGAATCGTGCCAGGACCTGGTATGTTTGTAGGGAGGAGTGTAATGATTTGGGAGGGGATGAATTGTGAAGTCTATGAACTCTCTGCCAAGGAACAAATCAGAACATTGACAACATTAACACCTAGAGACTTTATTCTGATTGAAGGGAAAACAAAGCCTGGTGTGGCCAAGATGTGTTGGCTCAGGAAAGCCAAGGTCATGATAGATAGCCCTAGGTCTGAAAAGGAAAACTGAATGGGAGACTTTACATGAAAAATGGAGACATTTCAGTAACAGAAAATACTAGAATTTGATCCTGTTTTGATATGAAAGACAGTGGTGGATGTGTGATAATAGTTTTGAAAATGAGATAAAAATAACAGATGTTGCTACTGACATGATAAGGCACTAACATGAAAATTGTCCTTGAAAACAAGAAAGACTAGATGTTAAAAAAATGATTTATATTCTGCTTTCTGAACACTTCACTCAACAGATGACCTAAGAAAACACAACATAAAGAAGATAAGGATGGAACTGGTTTAAAAATCAAAGCACAATCAGTGCCTTCCAGTGTTATATTTCATTCAAGGAACACTGACAAAGTGAGATTCCACCATAAACAGTACAGTTCTTTAGATATTGTTCAGAGATAAAAAATGCAATACAGCATTATCGTTAATGATAACTTGTTTCATGTACACATCAGCAATTAGTGGTATGTTCCTCCAATTATACTAATGAGCGACAGAATAATGGAGATCTTTAACAGGAAATGGAAATGAAGCAAACCTTGATTTCCACTTAACATGTAAAAGGTATTTCCTGTGTATGAGTGTAAGGTGCCAGTCTACCAAAATACGTTGATGTAACAATGCCGCAATCAAAGTGAACTTTCCTTTGAGATGCAGTCATGACCGGTTCTGTCCGTGCTGTGATTAATTACATCTTTGATGCTTAGTTTATAGCTTTGGCTGTCTTAAGTTAAGTATTATTGGTGTTGTGGGACTGTAATGGGATTGTTCTGAGTTGACTCCCCTTGCTTTTTTAGTCGGCAATAGATCACAGCACCACGTTCTCCAGTGAGAGGTGTAACATATATGATAAAGAAATTACAGAAGATCTTTTATCCCCATATTCTCCAGTGCATGTTGTTTGTATGCATTTCAGACTTGATAACTTTCAGAATTTATCGTGTCTTTTACAATATTAGGTATGGCCTATATCTCTTTTGTATACATGAGCTAAATAATTCGCACAAACTCATTCATTTTATCGACATTAATTTACTCCTTGTTTCAGATATTAAATGTGCCTACCAGATCTAGCATATCAGATCAAGATAGGTCAGAAATTCCGAGTGCATGTATGGTGTAAATAGAAATGAAGTACATTGTACAGGTTTAACTGAAATAAAAGCAATCAATAATGTGACTTACTAACGAGCAACATCGCCATGTGTCTGTGGCATCCCCCGAGTGTCTGCTCATTCGTTAGGATTGGCTGCTAAAACATTTTCTCGGCTCCTAAACATTTTACTCAGAATTCAACTGGGTCCATAAAACAGGGTGTTAAACTGAGGCCTGAGTGTTGTATTCACTGTGGTACCAGAGCAAGATAGGTTGGGTTTGTAAATGACATGAGGTTCTTACAAAGAAAAAGTACATGTATTATAACTATATAATTCATCATACTATCTTGAGCTAAATGAATTAACAAATACATTATGCTCTTTATTGTTATGGCCTCAGGTTAACTTTGCGGAGCTGTGTGGCTATCAGGTTTTGAAGCAGCTACATTAAATGTATGTCCATTAGAGGTTATTTTAGATTTGTTGATGCACACTTAATGCAGCTCCTGAAGCCATTCCACCGGAGACAGAGCGGAGACAGAGCGCGGCTGCCTGGCAGCTGTCATGTACCGTTGATCTGAGGATTTGATGGACTGCATTTGATCTAATTACATAGACATTGCTGCACTACACGGCAGTTGTTAGCACCATCCACAAGTCAGTGGCCCCTCAATCAGCTCGTAACTGTTAGGAAATGAATTAATTTAATAAAATCTTTGTTTAGCGTGACACATTGTTTTATTAGATATGATATGTGTTAGTCCATTGTTGTGTGTGGTGTGAACAACAACGCTATTTGAAATCCAAACAACAGAAACAGGAAGGTGCAAGGGTACCTCTATAGCTGTTTGATTTAAAGGATGGAAATGCACTGTTATAAAAAGACCAGCATTAATAAAAATGAGCAACAATAATTCAAGAAAGAAAAACAGTGATAAAGAGAGTAGTAGCAACGATAAAGACTGGAGTAGCAATGATAAAGACAAGAGTAGCAACGATAAAGACAGTAGTAGCAACAATAAAGACAGGAGTAGCAATGATGAAGACAGGAGTAGCAACGATAAAGACAGGAGTAGCAACGATAAAGACAAAAGTAGCAACAATAAAGACAGGAGTAGCAATGATAAAGACATGAGTAGCAATGATAAAGACAGGAGTAGCAACGATAAAGACAAAAGTAGCAACAATAAAGACAGGAGTAGTAATGATAAAGACATGAGTAGCAACGATAAAGACAGGAGGAGCAATGATAAAGACAGGAGTAGTAACAATAAAGACAGGAGTAGAAATGATAAAGACAAGAGTAGCAATGATAAAGAATAAGGAGAGCATTGATTTAAGAAAGAGTTAAAGATTTGATAAAGGAAGGAGAATTATTCATAAATGAAAAAGTCGCAGTCCATGATATAATATATATAATTGGTAGTAAATATAGTGGAAAAATATTAACAATAGACGAAGGAATATAATAGTGATACATTTGTCAAATTTTGCAAAGTGAACTATATTAGTAGCTTTTGATATTATGGCCAGAAACTATTGCTCAAATGTGGAAACAAAAAAAATGATCTGAATGTTGTTAGTTTTGTTTTTCTGAGTTTAAACTGTAAATTTCAGTCTCCAGAAACTACCATTTCGTATAAAAGAAATCATAAATTCCTGTTTAACAAGCTGACTCACTGGTGACCTGCTCAGACTGTGAGGTGGTGGAAGACTTGTTATAGCTGTATCCAACTGTGAGACCTTATGGGGCATTGATCAGGTTATAAATAATTCCCAACTTTTAAATGACATGCACAGAAATGTAAACCCACTGCATAGGCATAAAGCTCAGATGCAAGTCAAACAAGTATAAAGAAAACCTATTTTAGCCTCTGAAATTTTAAAATAGAGGTAAGGATATGAGCATTTAAATATGAAAATGAATTCAAAATGAAATGGTCAGTTTTAGAAATGTTCTACTGTTACTTAATTATTAGAAATCTGAGGAGAAATTTAATCTCAAGGCAGTACCAGGGATTTTTTCATTTTCAGCACCTCCTACAAATCTCAGCAGAATATACAACCATGCATCTTGTTAAGAAATAACTGAGGGTTTAAAGTAATAACTACCATGCTAGCAATACTGTAGTTTATCATTGAATATTTTATATTGTAAACAGCATGGGAATAGATTAATGGTTGTCACCCTCACTAGCTATTACATTTTGTTGAGTTACAGAGTGTATATATAATTGTTTTTATTGGATGGGGTTTCGTCAGCTACATTATGTATACTTTTTAGCAAATGTAATTGGTATTTGAAAGTTGAGAGCCAAATCAAATATTATAAACAAAAGACCTTGAGTATTAATTCAAAATTACCTCCCTTGGCTGATTTGCTCATATACATGAGATAAAATTTACATTTACAAATCCAACATTTTGTTATAAGGAAGCGTTGAGAGCTGTATTAGTGAGCTATTTTTTCAGTTAATTAAAGGACAGAGTCTTTGTTCTTAATGAAAAGGATACTGTCATAATAATTAGATAAGATAACCTGTAACCAAACCACCATTTTAATCTAAGATCTGACATGTAAGGTAGACTGGTACATGTAACCAGGAAATTAGATTAGATGTCTAAGACTGTGATGTAACTTACAGGCTACAGATGTCATTAAATGATATGATACTGTAACAGTATCAGGGCTATTACTTGATATGGTCTAGCTCTGTAACAGTATCAGGGCTATTACTTGATATGGTCTAGCTCTGTAACAGTATCAGGGCTATTACTTGAT